TTTTTTTTAGAATGAGTGATTTGTCCAAGATTAGTTGTCACTGACAGTTGGTAGAACAGATATTTCTGACTGGCCAGTTCTTGTTCTTTTCATTGTGCCACACACACGCGTTGGTGTCATATAGAATTTGCCCGTTAGTTTTTCTTAACACATTTTTCCTGTGAACATTAAATCTTTAAAACATTTTGTTTGTTCTTAAACGGGTGAACCTTGAAATAACTTCAGTTACGGAAAGGTAGTAAAAGTATTATAAAGAGTTCCAGATATTCTTTACTCAGATTCCCCAGATGGTAACATCTTATGTAACCACAGTATAATGTTCAAAACCAGAAAATTGCACCAAAGTAATTTTGATTGATTGTCTGCTCTGACTTGCCCTTGCATTCGTGCTTGTGGCTGGTCAGCTCTGTTGATCTTCATAAATTGAGTTACATGTGTTATATTTAAAAGGGCAAATGAGAAAAGTGCTTTCCATGTACACCTTTGCAAGTGAGTTAAACCTTTTATTTTGATGGTTGCGAAATGCCATTAAAGTAAAGGTGGGTCTTTATGAATCATTTCTCCAAATCTCCACGTGTATACCAGTAAAATGAAATACGTGACAAACTTTGCGCTTATTTTAAAATTCCTTTGTACTTTGTAGTTTTCCCAGATAATTTCTTTTTGCTTCTAAATGTTTTAGCCTAAGTAAGGTAGTAAGGTTTTAGAACTACAAATGACAGTAATCAGATTGCTTAATTAAAGAAATGCTTCATCTGCATTGTCTGATAACTGATCTTTGAAAACCACTCTGGTCAGAAAGTGCTGTCTCAAACTTCTCAGTATCTCCATTTACCTATAAAATGATTGTAGAAATAATGCTGTTTATAATTACAGTTTTGAAATTGGTTGCTTTGTGCAAAACAATTGAATCATCAAACCATTGTAGGATCTGTATTCTTTTCTTTTCCCTGGCAGTCTTTATTATGTGAGGACGAGATTTTCCGTAAGTGTCCTATCTCTGGACCTGATAGTAGCTAATGAGCCCAACCCTTGGTAGACTTATTTGGGAACCAAGGGTTACATATAACCTCACAAAATGAGAGTTCTAGGTTATTCAGTTCTCTACAGCTTGTTTTCCTGTTGGCTATGTTTTCATCTTCTGTTCTGCTTGAAAAATTTCCAAGTCCTTGAAGTACATTTCTCTCAGACTTAGAATGTTTCTCAGGTTACTGTTTTCTTTGCTATTTATTGCCTTTGAGAAAAACTTTATCTGCTTCCTCTTCCTTCTTAGGAAATGTTGATAGTAACTGGGGAAAATAAAACTTGTTAATTAAAAAAACTCTATATTCAGGTGGTGGGAATTTAAACCATGAAGTCATCATACACACTTAGAATGTAAGTTTACACGAGGTGCTATTGTGTACAAAGCAAATGGGGCAAAGTCCAGATTTGCAGATTTCATAACCCTGTATAACTTTAACAGTTGAAAACAAAAATTAAAGCCAGACTTTCTGTTTGTTTGTTAGTTTACAAGTTAGGCACATTTGCTAATAAGCACCTTTGGGAAGATATGGTAAAAATACTCTCCGTTATTTTTTGGTTGGAATCACTTTCATATTAAAATTTGAACCCTTACTGTGAACATTTTTTAGTTATTTTTCCTTTTCTCCCAGATTACATTTTGGTAACATATCTTGAATATAGCCTGTCTTGGTCTTTGCCATTTTTATCAGTTTTGATTTTTCCCTTTTGGATGAGAGCCTTGTCCAGCCAACATGGAGAAGTACATCGTTAGGGACTAAACCTGGCTCCAGGGTTGTTTGCTGAGGTCCTTTTTATGTGGAAAGAATGGTTATTACCAGGGAAGGTTTTCCTTTTGTTTTACTTGCTATCCAGATGCTGCTCAGACTCTCGCTCTCGCACAGGATCACAGTATGGATATTCCAAGTCAAGACCAACTGAAGGTAAAATCACCACACGGTGACTTCTTTTGTTGTACAGAGTGGCCCCTTCTCTGTACCTGTGGATCTTGGACTCCCAAGACCTTTCCCTGAATGTGGTAAGAATTTAATAAGAAAGGTTCTTGGGAGTTCACAGACCAGGGACAGAGTGAACCTTCTCTGTTCTGCCTATAACAGAGTTCCAGTCTCTGCATCTTTCTTTGGGATGTAGCACTTCTGATCTTCAGTTCCTCCAGTTGGATTTTCTTTGGGGTTTTTGTGTGTGCCTGTATGTGTGATGGTGTATGTACATAGGTGTTTGAGAAAACTGCTTTATTCGATTTTAACAGGCTTGCGGCAGTTAAATTCATGTCAGGCCGTTCTTAAAGCTTCCCCAGACCTGGGAGAATGTTATGATCATCTTGGTATATGCTGAGGGTTTCACATGTTTTCTGAACGATGCCTAATTTTGTAGTCTAGAGGCTTTATAGCGATAGCCTGTTTTTAACAGTCGGTTTGGACCTTTTGTGCAGAGATTTTTTTCCCCCAGTTTTGGGGTTCTCCTAGTTCTGCTCACAGTGGGTTGAGGAGAGGTGTTGCCTTTATTTGATGACTGTTGTGAACTCCAGAGATCTCTTTCTTGTGCGTAACCCATTGTGCCGCACACTAACTGGTGAGCCAGAGTGGAACTGCTACATCCCCTGGTCTCAGTCATTTTTACTGCACTAATACACCTCTTTCCCTTTTTTCCAGCAAAGTTCAGAAGAAGGTTCCAGTTCTAGGAAAAGAATGGAAGAAGGCAATATACCTACACTGCCTACCTCACAACATAAATGCAGAAATTCTAGAGAAGGTAAGTTTTGGGTTAAGGCTATATACACTTATTTTTTTCTCTTTTTCATTTTTTTTTCTTTTGTCGATGACTTCTAGAAATGGCATTTATTCATATTAAGCACTGGCTGTAATTGGGACCATCATATAAGCAACTCAAAATATAATGTACTTTCTTTGCATATGAAGTAGGAGGGGCATATGTCATACTTCTGTTTCTCATTCTTTTCTGAAAACGTTTTCTTTCCCCCAGTGACCATTATTAACTTTGAAGAGGATGGTAGTGCTCCTTTAGCAACCTGTGATTTCTGGGCTGGAGCCAGTCCCTTCCTTTGGCTAGTGTGCTAATAGAAGATAGCTACACATTTATCAGTTTGCTGCCTGGCGAGTCAGCTGCCTTGGCCTTTTAAATCCTGTCACACCTGTATATATGTTCAGTCTGGTTACAATTTTTATTTTTATTTGTCTGCTTGAGGCAGAGGCTAATTTTCATAGAGTTTTGAAGTTTGCAAAGATATGTACTTAGTATGTTAGAGCCGAGAATGAGGCATCGGAAGTCTAGTAGTTCCTTTGCCCTTGGATGGTAGTCCTCAGCTCTTTGCCATCCATACTGGGTATGCTATGGTCAAGTTAAACGAGTTAGTCGATATTTTGGAAGTTTCCCCCGTGCCCTGCTTTATAAAATATGTCCTAACATTTTTTCTACAAAGGTGTATACTGTCATAAATTACTCAGAGGTGTTTCATGGTCCGATAGTTTCTAGTCTTAGGCACCTGGCTCACACTTGGAGCAGTGGCAGGTTAGACCTCCAGCAACCTCCAGAGAGTGATGCTGCTGAAATTGTTTTCGTTGTTTAAAATTGAAACAATTTATCATGCAACTGAATTTTGGGCTGCCTGTTTACCTTGGAGCTTATTCTGTTCTGAATGGTATTAAATGTGTATTTTTTTCTATAACTGCAGGTCCTTGCTTATTTGCTACTCAGAAAGCTATTTGAAATATAAGAATAGCCAATTCAAGAGATTATATGTTGTTTGTAATGTAAACTTTGAGAATAAATAGCTTAGTATCTTCAGGAAAGTAGATAGAAAGGACAGACTTTTTATATGTGGAAAGTATATTTCTGTTCTCTTTACAAGAAGTTATAGAGCTTGAATAGATGAGAATAATTTTAATATGGTGCCATCTCAGGAATTTGGATTTTGATAATTCTAGTAATGAATAAGTAAAAAGTTGAACTTTCTCCTGAACTTAATGGGCAGGGATCATTATAATTTGTAAGTAGATAGGTAACCTTTTGTTCTGACAGAGATCTATTTATTACAAAAGTTGCCAAGCACGTGTACCTCAGGACATTTAAACACTTGTGGTTGCCATTGGCATGCCTGGTGCATTGGGAGGAGTAGAGGAGAGTGAGAAAGTAGGAAAAGAGGAAAGCACAGCAAAAAAAGATTAGATGATGGGAAAGAAAGAAAAAAAGTTCTTGTGGTAGCAACCACCTTGAATGCCATTTGGATGTACAAAGCAACATCTCTTACTTGGAATATGTGGGGCCTTCTTATGTTTTGGATTTGTAATATTTCTTGATTTTAGATAATTCCAGGAGAGCTCATTGATCTAGAAAGGACATACTTACTTGGATAACCTTGAGTTCAGCATTTTATGATGGTTGTTACCTGTCAAAACGTGAGTTAGTGAGAAACATTTCCTGAATATGTGGTAGCAGTGAGACTGCCTTGTCAACCTTGTGAATGCGCATTCCGGTCTGGGCTGCCTTGGTTCTGTCTCAAGTCGGACCACCATGCCGCCACCATTTGCAGTTCAATGGATCGAGCCATTATCATCATGTGCTACAGCGAGTCATTCTTTAGTTATTGCTGTGGTAAGAATGTTTAACATGCGAATAATGACCATTTTGAAATCCTCTAAGAGCACTGTCGTCGTTTGGATGCTTTCAGAGTTTAGATTTCTTGATAACTGATCCATCTACTTCTGGTGTCATTACTTACCAATGAATGAAGCCTAAATAGGAGGTTTGGCTCTGCCACTTTTGTACTGGGTGTAGACATGTCTTTTTATCTGTCTTAGAAAGAGATTGTAAGTGTTACAAACCGAGTTTTGATTCTTAGTGTTGTGTACATAGTTACCATTCTTTCCGTTTGACCGCTGTAGGTGAAGACTTTATAAAAAACTTAACCCAAGGTGAGACCTCTAAGCTGGACCTTGGGTTTGAGGAGTGGGATATAGCCGGACTGCCTTGGTGGTTTTTAGGAAACCTGAGGAACAACTATACACCTAGAAGTAATGGCTCAACTGATTTACAGACAAATCAGGTAAATGTCACATTTGAAGAGGAACTTTTTGTTTTCTTTTGAAAGAGTAACATCCTTGGTTGCTCTTGACCACACATTGCATTCTGTAAGAATTCTCATTCAGTGCCACGACTTTAAGCACCATCTGTGTGTGCCTGATGCTCAAATCTGTATCTGCAGCCCTGACCTCTTCTCTTAAATGCCCACCTTCTATATTCAGCTGCCTACTCAACACCTTCACTTAGATGATCTGACATTTAACATGTTCAAACCAGATTTTTCTTTTAATTTTTCTTTTTCCCCAAACATTCCTATCCAGCCTTTCTTTTTTCACAAGTCTACCTTCTATCCAGTAATTCTAGCCAAATCCAAAGGGATATCATTGATTTCTTTCTCTGTCATATGCCGCATTCACGTTGTCAGCTCTTTACCCAAAACATATCCAAAATCTAACCCCTTTTATTACTTCCGGTGTCATACCCTAATGTGAGCCATAATTATTCTCTTCCTTTATCTTATTTTATATTCTCCATTGCATTTCTCGCTTTGTAAAACTGTTACTCTGTTTTGTTTTATGTATCTCTTGTCTTTTTACCCCTACTGAAATGTAAGTCCAGGGCTTTCGCATCATTTACCACTCTATTCTGTTACCTGGTACTTAGAACAGTATCTGACACGTAAAAGGCGTTCCGTGAGCATTTGCTCAGTAAATGAATGGGTATAGTATAGTGGCAAAATAATAAGTTTTCTTTTAGGAATATTGGAGAAAAGCATGTCATAAAATATCCATAGTTGAATGTGGAAAGAAAGTTATATTTAAAGTTGTTTGGGAATTCAGAAAGAAGATTTGAGTTACCATCAGTATTTCTCATATTTTAATAAACGTTATTGACTGTCAAGGAAATGATGTACCACAGTTAATAGAATGTCTTCTAGGTTCTCAGAATACCACCTTTGGAAAGGAGTTGAGGGAATGGATTCTATTTAGTTGAGCAGCTATGAGTCTTTAGCCTTTAAGCTCTTTAGTACCATTTCTCAAGTGTTATACTTGAGTTACTGTTAAAGTAGAGAATTCTTTGCCAGACTCCTTTATATCCACTCGCGAGTTTATACATAGTAGATGCGAAGTAGATGTCTGTGGAATGAATAGATGTCCGTCGAAGAAAGAGGCAAGGTGTTCTTTGGAGATGTGTAGGGACATTGAGTTTTGGGTTCATTTTTATTGGTTCAGCATCACTGATAAGCGTCTGACTATAAACCTTTTTTTCTACTAGGATATAGGTACTGCCATTGTTTCAGACACCACAGATGATTTGTGGTTTTTGAATGAGTCTGTATCAGAGCAATTTGGTGTGGGAATCAAAGTTGAAGCCGCAGATACTGAACAAACAAGTGAAGAAGTAGGGAAAGTAAGAGACAAAAAGGTATGTTTGGAAACATTTCGCCTTGTTTGTATCTACATGTACCTAGCATAATCTGTTCAGGTCTGGTATCCCAACCCTTTTGTACAACAGATGACTCACATAATTCCCCCCTTTAATTTCTTTTTTTAAAGTTTGTTTATTTTGAGAGAGAGGGCACGGGGTGGGGGGGGGGG